AAATGGGGGGGGGGGGGGGGCAGGAGGCACACAGGGCTTACACAAGTGGAACTTCACCAAAATGATTCACAAAATCTTCATGTGTCTCCTGAGGCACAATTGCGAAATGCTCCCTGCCATGGCATGGGCCAAGAAGCAGTGACATTTTGGCTGAGATAATGTGCATGGTCTGCTTCAGACCTTTTAAAATGCACACAATCCTGACAGACAACGGCTATGGTTCCTTGGAGCTATCTGATCTTTTAGGAGTAGTCAGTGGCTGGACAACACAGCACTGAATGCAACATTCATGGCTGATGGAATTTTATAGCAATTATCCAAGAATTTTTAAAACAAAAAGAGATGGAAGGAGGGAGTGAACCCAGGACCTATCCTTGCAACAGAATCATGATCCATCAGCAGTTCCATGAATCTTGCATTCCTGTAAAAGGATATCAGTTCAGCATTAATCCCAGGTACAGCCATAACCTGGAACACTCTTCTGGAAAGCAGGTACCTGGGTTAGAACCTTGCCTTTTTAACATGGGTCCTCAATCCACCTCTTCTATTTTTTGTTCCATCATTCACCCAGCAAGTAAATAACAGGTGAGAGTCTCACACCACCCACACCTCTGAGTCAAAACCCATAGTTACAGGGTAATAGCAATTGTTGTATCACAGTGTTACATACATCCCAGATTGTCACTGCAGTAGTAACAAGTCCTACAGTCTCAAAAACCTTCTCCAATAAATTAAGGAAAGCTACCTTGTGTTCATACACATTTAGTTCTGCACAGGACTAATGGGCTGAAGAACAGCATCAGCCCTCTCCAAGCTATCCCACAGACCTCTCACCCAGCAACAGGCAGATGTATCCTTACTGCTTTGCAGGGGACCTCTCAAATTCCACACAGCTGCCTAACTTGGTCATACTTTGAGTAACACATTATTTCAGAGCAAGGTTGTTTCACCTGAACTGAGACCAGAAGAAAACCGAAAGTTTCTCTATCCTGATCATTTGCACAAAACAAGTTGCTCCACTAATTCTTGCATCAAGCCCAATACCTTGTGGTAGACAGAACATACCTTTCAGACAGGCAAGTCTGCTCAGTGCCAAATTACTCTGTATGTAGGCAAACAGTGATACAGACACAGCATTCTACAGAGCAAGCAATAATTTATTTTAAAGGGCATAAGAAGTAGGAGAAAAGCTATTTAAAATACAAACAAAGGGGACTGTTTATTTAATGAGGAGTAGGTATTTAAATAAAAAGATTAAAGAGATAAGGTAAAAATATATTTTAGGAAGAGTAACAGTATTTTTTTTTTTTAATAAACAGAACATCTGAATAATTACACTGACAAACAGCCACAGATATAAGAAAAGAACGCAGTAAACCTCAAAATGCATAACTATTCTACCAAATTGCTAAATTCTGCTCCATATGTACAAGCTAAGTGCATTTTATAAACTATGTGGCCCTGCAGTGCCAGAATACTAATCTGACTGATGGTATAACATACTAGTACTAAACATGTTACAAACCAAGCAGGAACCAGACCAGAGAAGACGACAAATGCCGAATACAGAGAAAAGCCTCAACCTATTTATTTCTTTTCTCCAGTAAAGATTCATTAATTATGGCAAATACAAGGCACATAAACTCATTTCAGCAATACCTGGGGGGGGGAGGGGGAGAGCAGTGAATGGGAATAACAACATGCGAAAAAGCTGTTGATCAGAACAGCATGGTTCCTAATTATATGGGTCATTTCTGACATTCATCTAAATTAAGAGTTTTCTGTTTATCACCGGCTATTGCCAGATGGACTGAATTGGTAAAAAAGGGCTTCCTTCTACTCCAACAATTGCAATGCAAGTCTACAGTTTCATATTTAGTGCTGCTGAAACTAATCTAAACAACACATTTTCCCTTTCCCTCTCTTCTCTTCAGATTGTTCCCAGATTGCACTACTTATGGACTGCATCTGCACAAAATGAACTGGACTAGAGGACTGAGCTGACTGAAAATAACTACCTACATTCTTTCTCGAAAGGCAATGTTTATGGCAGCCCCAAAGAAATGCAACCAGAACTGCAGCTTAAGCTTAATTAACCATTTTAGTTTTAAAATGCTCAACCATCCCCATAACAATAAGGTCACAATTCCTCACGCAACAGTGGTTGTCACTTCTGGATGTTTTTGAGGCCATGCAATGAACTAACTCTGGATGTTAACCTGCCTGAAAAAAACAGCCTTTCCTCTCCTCTCCTGACGCACTTTTTAATCTTTTGGTGGGCACAGGGTGGAGGAGAGAAAGAGAGAAAACCCCAACTATTTCACTTGCATCAGATCATCAGGCTGAATAGCTTTTTGGCAGCAAAATCATTTGTTCTAGAACAAGAGAAGGGGCAGTGCAGTGGCAGGAACCAGCAGGTAAGATCAGAGCCCACCCACAGCAGCTGAAGCAGTGCTTTTGCA